CCTGAGGTTAAGCCCGCGGGCCAAAAAGCCTGTTCAAGCCCGTCCAGGGGTCGGGCCGGGCCGGGCCGGCCCGTCGGGCCACCCGGCCCATGAACAGGTCTAATGGTAATTGGATTGTATTGGACTTGAAATTTTTAGGGATTTTTTATTTTTTTATATGTTTTTTATTAGGAGCAAAATTGAAAATCATAGTTAATTCCGATCCCAGCCTCTTCATGAACTAAACAGTATCAATTGGAATCTGATTCCGATTCCTGCCTGAACCAAACAGGTAAAGGAAATAGACCATTCTGATTTCAATTCCAATTCCAATTCTGATCATGAACCAAACGACCCTTATTATACATCCTATATAAGGGGTTTTTGGCATTTAAACCAATATACATATGAAAGCCATGGGGCTGATTTTATTCCACAAAAAGAGATTAGATATCACCAGAAATCTCTGACCTGATGAATTCCGGAGTGGATGACCAGTATGAGAAGCAGGTAGAAGGGATCCCTTAGTTGCTGGTCTATGAGCCACTCGGTTACGTGGGCAAGGCACATAAAAGATAAAACATCATAGCTTGTAGAAGGAATCTGCAATCAGCTATGAGATTTCTAAAGTCAGCAAGAGAGATGTAGACTCGTCTGAGATTAGCTTGATGACATTACTCTAGTTCCCTTCAAGCCAATATGGAGGGTTTATCGCAAATTCAAGGCCAACAATAGTTAAGCTTATTACTGAAATAAACTCAATATATAAAACAAACATCTAGTGTTCTCCAAACCACCACCAAAGGTTTTCTCTCATTGTCTAATATTTGATCTATTACATTTGATTGTACTAGAAAATGTAGATGTGCCTTTGTACGTGATAATTTTAGATGATGATGATAATAATATGGATTCAATTTTTTTATTATTTTTCATACTTTTATGTGTATAAAAATAATTTTTATTTATTGCACTTACTTTTGTTTGATAGGATAAATATATAATATCAGACATGTGCTCAAATGTTTTCTACAAAATTTCTATATTTTTCCATCATTTGTTGCGTTTTTTATCTTTCTATGGGTCAATTTTAAATTTTGTTTTTCATTTCCATCATTCAATAAAAATTATTTATTGTTTATCTTTGTTTTCCTTTAATATTATTAATATAAAATATTATAGATGTGTTTATTTTTTATTTTTTATTTTTTATATTTATTTTTATTTTAAAATTTTTATTATTTAACTATGACATAATGAATTGAATCATTTCCATTTGACTCAAATGGTTGAATTGCTTGATGGAAGAATAGTTCCATTTTTTGGTTAAATTTTAAAACATATAAATTGTATATAGTTAAAAGTATTGAATATTGGATCTAATTAATATAATTTATTTATGATAAAAAAAATATGTTAAATCTTAAATTTAATGAGAAAAAATTGAATTTTTTTCGAGAAATTCCCTTTCATTACATCAAATCATCAATCAGTACAAGTATGAGAAAATTAGAAATGAAAGATCAAAAAGTGATCCGGGTAACATAACAACCATACTTTGCTAAAAAATGTATGCAACTCTATTGCCTTTACGTGAAATATAGGAGACTTTTGAAGTATGAAACATAAGCAAAAGCTCCCTGCAATCGACCATAATAGCATGAAGTTGCCACGTGGGCACTGGCCAAACACGAACTCACCAAAGATGGTTCCGCATAATAATACCTGGGCCTGAATGTCAAGTGTGCACCATCAACATTAATCCTAATAGGTGGAACCATGGTTTTTAAAAACGAATTAGTCAGGGGTTCAGTTATCGGTTTGATCGGCCACCATTTGACCCGAATGGCCAGTCTGTTTTGACAAGAAAATAAAAATTGAAAATGGTCAAAATTGTTCGAACGGTTTGAACGGTTTGAATGGTTAATCGGTCGATTCAGTGATTTGCTGACCAAAAACAACGGTTTTAAGGGAGAAAGTGGTTTTGGAAGAAAACAGAACCGGTCTGGTGACCGGTTCCCGGTTTTTTCGGTCCAATTTTGAAAACAATGGGTGGAACCCAGTAAAACACACGAGATGTATCATTGGCCTATCCAATCCAGTAAAATTGATTTTGATTTGAACAGTCCAATCCAAACCTGATCCATTGACACCCCTACACATAACTGAATATAAAATTGAAGAAACAAATGATTCAAATCTTTTTTGGTTTCATGACAAAGAGGGTATAAACATCTCCGAACAAAGACTTGAATCCAGGGTGTGACCGTGTGAGTTCCTTAGGGCACCAAAATGTAAACCCATGATATTTGGTAGGGGAAGGTGACTATTAGATGAATTAATTTGCTTGAACTAGAACATTTTATAGACCAACGCACACATGAATCTCCTGTATGGGATTAATATCTTAAATATAAGATTTAACAAGAGAAAATTGAATGAGCTGAACAGTAGTAGTTCAGATTATATTTTTTACCCTTATAATTTATGGGGATAAAATTCAAAAATTATATATATAACTGAAATAACCAAATAAGAAAATCAATTCAGTTATTTTGGTATTCCTTAATTTAGTTTTTCGTTCAGTTTTCCTTGTAGAAATTTGGTTTATTTCATTCAGTCTTTTTTATTGAACAAACCAATATGAATGAAAATTAAGAGTGACCCAGAACTAGCATATCCATGTGAGAAAAATATTTTTTTTTAAGGAAAACATCATATTTCATTCAACTATGAAACTTGTATGAATACAGAACAGTGGTCACAATACCAAGCAAGAAAGCATAAAAACATTGTATGAAAACAAAGAAGTGGTAACAATACCAAACAAGAATACAAGTCTCTAGAAAAAACAAAATATTCATAGTGGATAAAGGAGAAATTGAAGAAACTTCTGCAACAGAAAAATGGTGAGGCAGAACCAATGGAAGAGATAGCGATTTGCCATAACCTTAATCATCCGGAACTTTAATTGCTAAATTGAAACTTTAATAGGCTAGAACCATAACCATCAGAAATATTATCACCGAAACTGAAACCAACTGGAAGTTTAACCACCTGGAAAATGTAATCGTCGGAACTATTATTGCCAGAAGTTGAACCAACTGGATTATTAACCACTCGGAACTGAAACTATCGGAACTGTTACGCCAGAAGTGGAACCAACTAGAACTTTAACCCCCCAGAACTGAAACTGCCAAAACTATTATCACCGAAACTAGAACATTAACCACCCGGAATTTTAATCGTCGGATCTGTTATCGTCATAACTGGATCCACCCAGAACTTTAACCATTTGGAACTGTAAGTGCTGGTGGAATAAAATAAGGGAACAGTTACTGATAGTGAAAATCAAAGTAGCAATTAAGGCCACCGCCCAACACTTCGCCTCTGTACTAAAATCCCTACAAAAAAGAATAAAAGAATAAACAATAAAAAAGAAAAAAGAAAAAAGGAGAAGAAATGAAAGAGAGTTGAAGATTGGACAGAGTTAATCAAGAAGAAGAGAGAGGAGTAAGGGAAAGGGAGAAAAGAATAAGAAAATGGAGAAGAAAGGGAGGGAGGGAGAGAAAGAGAGAGAGAGAGAGAGAGAGAGGGAACCTTTGGAACCCAATAGACGGAGACTTCCGAGAAGAGAGAGACTCTCTCGAAAATAGGACTATAGGAGGATTGGATTAGAGAAAAGATTTAATGGGATTGTTGTTGTGCATGTGACATCAAACAAAATGAAGGGTAAATTGAAAAGACCCCCCTACAATATGGGGTTAGTGACAATTATCCCTTGAACTTTTATTTGTGACAAAGACCCCCGAACTTTTACTTTACGACAATAGCCCCCTTTAATATAGTTCTGTGAGTTTTCAAAAATGATTCCCATTGAGCTGTTTAATTTTTTTAAATTGCCAAACTACCCTTTTCTTATTTATTTGAATGATTTATGATTCAATTTCTAAATATTATATTGAAGTCCTTTTTGCTGCTTCTATAGATCTTTGTAGATTTTTAGTTTGATTAAAAAATTGTAGAGGTTTTCTTTCTAATAAATATAAATTTAAGGTTTCATTTGATTTTTCTTGATTTATTGGAGAAAGAAGTGGATAATTTTTATATTTTAAGATGAAGAGAGACATTCATGTGAGTAAAATGAAACAAGCATTAAAGAAACTTGTTTTTTTATGTCAATTAAATTATTCTTGTGTTCAACGGTTTTTGGTCGTTTTTAAATTTGAATTATTATTTTTTTATTTTTTTAGAATGGGTCATCTGTTCGAATTGGACAGTTGAACCATTGACCCAAAAATCGATGGCCAAAATGGTTCCAGTTTTATGTCATTTTTTAAAATATTGGTTATTTTAACTAGTTTTGTTTGTAGAAACTAGAGGTATTATTAGATCAATTAGGATATAAGAGAAAAAAAGGTAAGAAAAGGAAAACAATAAAACTTTTGTGGGTATTTTGATAATTTAATGCATTATGTCATTTGAGTTAACAACCAAGGGGTATTTGTTGCAAAGAGAAAGTTCAGGGGGTTTTATCACAAATCAAAGTTTAGGGAGGTAATTGTCACGAACCACATAGTATAGGTCATTGTAATTTATCCTAAAATGAAATGTTAAGTTGTGAATGAGTCTAGATCTTAAGATATTTGCCATCCATCTACCATATTTTAATATGATAAAATTTGTAAAATATATTATATAGTATTTATATGACCCATAATATATATGTATATGTCACATCATCACAATTCGACTTCCGATTCAACCCTAGTTGAACCTCTGACACTTAAACCTCTCCCTTTTCCAGTTCTATGCATGGTTTGGTTCCCTATATATTGTTTAAAGGGTAAATTACAAAGACCCCCTTGTACTATGGGGCCAGTGATAAATACCCCCTGAACTTTCATTTGCGACAAAGATTACTTAAACTTTCACTTTGTGACAAAATACCCCCTCCATTAGAGTTTCCTCCGTTAACTTCAAAAAAGATTCTCATTTAGTTGTTTAAAATTTTTCTAAATCCCCAAATTATCATTTTCTTATTTATTTGATTGATTTATGATTTGATTTGTTTTCTAAATATAACATTGAAGCCCCTTCAGTTGCTCTAATAGATCCTTGCAAATTTTTGGTTGGAGGTTTATTTTTGATAAATATATTTATGGTTTTGTTTGGTGGTTCTTGATTTATTAAAGAAAGGAGTGGGCAATATTCATATTTCAAGACATTCATGTGAATGAGGAGTTCACATCTGCACCCCAAAAATGTCCCACAACACATCTGAGCATGCATTAGGAACATCTCCCATACTTGTCATTGGGAGATGTTCCCAATACACAGTTGGGATGTGCCGTGGAGCTTTTTTGAAGTGCGATGTGTGAGGCGCAAATGTGAATTCATGAATGAGATGAATCAAGAATTAAAAAAGAAAACCATGGATGTAAAATGATTCTTGTTATTTTAGATGATTTCATTTATAGAAAGTAAGGGTATTTTTGATCGATACAATTTAAGAAAAAAATGATAAAAAGAAAATAAAAAATTTAGATGGATATTTTGATAACTAACACAGTGAATTAAAATCGCCTAAACTCGTTCCAACCCTCTACCAACTTCATCTAACACCGCACATCTCACCTTCACCGGTCAGTGACTAAGCCATATCACTCAACCAAACACTAATGTCATGTTTTATGTGTTCTAGCAGGGCAATTTTTTGCTCTGAATATAAATAAAAAGTAATATTTTTATAAAATAATTAAAATAAAATAACTTTTTAAAAAAATATATCGAAAAAGGGCAATAATATCAAGAAATGTGCACGATGGTTCCACTCTACTTTTCCAATTTCCATGTTGGTGGCGTATAGTTCGGTGAAGTGGTGGAAGATATTTACGACGGAGCAGTGCTCCAGCATCAATCAGTTAGTTGCTGTGTTTGCTGTTCCGGTGCTGTCATTCCACCTCATATCTCAGAACAGCCCAAACGGCCATACCAGATGGACACCAAATTCATACTGGCTGATACTGTTTCTAAGACCTTGGTGCTTGTTTTGCTCTCCCTCTGGGCCATGATCTTCCATGGAGGACTAAATTGGTTAATCACTCTCTTCTCTGTTGCAACACTGCCAAACACAGTAGTCATGGGCATTCCACTGCTCAAGTCCATGTATGGAGACTTCACTCAGAGCCTCATGGTGCAACTGGTTGTTTTACAATGTATAATCTGGTACTGATATTATCTACTCCATAACCCAATGCTGTTCTACACCATTTCTTTATTTGATTTGGTTTTCTTTCTTCAGTCACACTGCAACTCTCTCTCTCTCTCTGTGTGTGTGTCTGTGCTGTAAATAAATGGTAAAACGTAGTGAAGGAAGACAAAGATTAGACAAGAATAATGAATGTTTTATCATTGGATCTATGTAAAAGCTTAATCTGGATATGGGTTATGATGCAGGTATACGCTTTTACTGTTCTTGTTTGCCTACTAATCCAGGACCAGTTCCCGGGCTCCGCATCTGCCTCCATAGAAAAATTCGAGATCGACGGTGATGTAATTTCCCTCGACGGCTGGGACCCACTACGTACCAAGTCAGAAGTTGACGGCAACGGCTGCATTCGAGTTCGTATTCGACGGTGATACACACCGACGTGGATCAAATCTCCGGCAGGTGGGAGGGTTTTCCGGCAGACGTCACCAGCATTCTCCGGCGTGAAAATGGTGTGGGAGTCACCGGGGAAAGGTCAAACTGGGGGGACAAACAAGGGTTCAAAGATATTGGACTTAGAGGCAAAGGAAGACGATGAACAGTATTATTGCCTTTTTTTTATATTTTTTCAAAAAATAATTCTCGTATTTTAATTATTTTATAAAAGTATTACTTTTTATTGATATTCCGGACAAAAGGTTGCCCTTATCTCACAGAACCCTTTATGTTTTCTGGCGTTTCACACTTCGGATCTTATTGATCCTGCGATGTAACGTGTCATGGTTGGCTTCCCCAGCAATCGCTTTAATCGAGGAATCTTCGGTAGCCCAGATAGTTCCCAAAGTGTTGACTCCATACTCTTGATCTAACTTAATAGCGTAAAACAGAAAACCGTCGCTAGGTTGACATTTTTTTTCCTCCACCAAAGACCTAAGAATGAATCTGATCCGTTAAATAAGCATATGATAACGGATACAACCTTGTAAAAGAAATATTGTTGACGCAGCAACGTGTGAAGCGTGACAACTTCTTTTTTTGAAGTAAAACGACGGTTAAGATTATATGCAGAATTTGTGTACAGCACGAGCGTAACTATATAATTAAACAGAAGTTACCGTTCTGGAGTCTTGACTCAGAGACTCTGAAATGCGACTGGCGGGTAGGAGGATTTCAGTTTGGTAGTTGCATTTCAAACTTCAAAGTAGATAATGAGCAAAGCCAGCTTCCTCTGCCTGCTGCTAATGATCTAAAATTCTAAATAATTGTGAATAGGGTCTGCCGGAACACTAATCATGCCGATGGAAGCAAACGATGAAGCTCCGCCTCCGACTGAGCCACTGCTCGACAGCCATCAACTGTTACTGCTCCGTCGATCGGCTTCCAACACTACTTCTCAGGTTGCATTTGTTGGCTCCAATGTGTGCCCCATAGAGAGCTTAGATTACGAGTGAGTGTGGCGGAGATCTTAGTTATATTGAGATTGAGTCCATGCCTTTTTTTCTTCTTCTTCTTCTTCTTATTCTGTCTGCTTTGCTGAATTTGTTGGTATACGATTTGATACTGGTTGCAGGATAATTGAGAATGATTTCTTCAAGCAAGATTGGAGAAGTCGCGGTAAGGTCCAGATTTTACAGTATATATTCATGAAATGGACGTTGTGTTTCCTCGTTGGCATTTTTGCTGGACTCATCGGATTCTTCAACAACCTCGCCGTCGAGAACATTGCCGGAATGAAATTTGTTATCACATCGAATATGATGCTGGAGAGAAGGTTAGTAACATCTTTCTCAGATCTCTATAAAATTTTGTTCTATTTGCTTTTGAATTTGATTGTTATTTCGGCTCAAACGAAGGATTTTACCAAATTTGACTGTTTCGCACAGGTATGCGGCGGCTTTTGGTGTTTTTGCCTCTACAAATTTCGTTGTCATTCTGTTTTCATCGCTTATAACGACCTTCATAGCACCTGCGGCAGCTGGATCCGGTATCCCAGAAGTTAAGGCTTATTTGAACGGGGTGGACGCCCCGAGGATCTTTTCTCTGCGGACTCTGGTTGTCAAAGTAAGATTCTGGTGTCTTCTCAGTTTTCCTGTTTGATTTTCTGGTTTTAATTGTTTTTCTTTGTTAAAGTGGAAGAAACTAAATGTATTTTAATAAACCTTATGAACTGTTGGATATGAAGATGAAAATGAGCTAGGTGAATCACCTATAGATGCCTGCTATCTAACTTGGGGGGTTAATCTGTGGATCGTGAGGGAGTAGGCATGGATAACCCATATAATGTACACTTTCATTTTGTCTGCCACTTGGTAACGGGTTAACTATCCCCTGATTATAGTGATAATGTCATATTTCAGTGCACTGGAAAAGGTGAATCACCTTGCATGTGTAAGGTGTAGGATAGCCCCTACTGAGATGAATCTGCTCGTATGTTTCTTGTTGAGGTCTTTTAGACCCTGGATGGTTGCAGTCAAGAATAGCTTCATCTCTGTAGAGGATCAAATCACAACCAGAGACCGGAGCGAAGTTGACATATTCACCTCATTATCTAAGTCGGATTTGATTATGATATCGGAAAGACTTGATACCAGGAAAACAATTCTTTAGAATTGTGAAGGGGGTTAAAATAGTTAGGGGCAGACCGAAAAAATTTTGGGTGAAAGTAAAAGACATGATTTAATCACCCATAATTTAAAAATGGATATCACACCAAAGAATAGTGAAACAGGATCCATGTAAACGATCCAAGGCTTGGCTGATGTCATGATGATTTAAGTCACAGCATTTGAATTTTACCATATTTGGTATGGATGTTACCGTATTGATCTTTGGTCTGGTAACCATGTGATCATTGGTCTCTTGAATTGCTTGTTCTTTGACAACAATAACTGGGAAGGTTGCTTCCTTCATGTGTTTTGATGGTGCTCCCCAACCATGATTGATGCATCTATGTGTATTTTTGGAACCGGTTGTGAGTTCTTTTTGTTTCTTATGGTGTTGCTTTATGTTAGTGTTATGCTTGTGTCTTCAATTTTTTGTTGCGATCGGTTTCATGAATCCGTTCTAAATTAAGTTGAGAAAAAACCCTAAGGTAAAATTTCGCAGTGGTTTGGATGTATTTGAGGTTTAAGGTTTTCTGTGAGCTAGGTTGTGAGTGTATAGCTTCTTCTCCATTGCTGATAAAAGATAATATTTTTATCAATAAAAGATAACTTTTATTGTCTTCCTCTGCGTCTAGCCGGTTTCAGCTCTCCGTCACCACCCTCCTCAGATTTCCAGATATTGAGGTCAGCTTTCCATCTACGCTGTCATCTTCATCGTCAGCGATGAATCATGGCAAAATCAATCACTTCAGCTGTAGAAACAGAAAACACCAATCGACAAAAATGGAGACAAAAACCCCAAATGGAATCATGAGACGAAATTCGATCTCAAACATATCTCCTTTCTTGATTGCGATAACGTCTTTATCGAATTTGATTTGCACTGCAACGGTATCATCTTCGGATATAAGAGCATCGAAGAAGTTTGTGTCCCGTTCAAACATCTCGTGGATGAGTTTGATGGATCCATTTGGTTCGTCAGTTATAAGGTCCGGTCTGCCGATGGAAAACCAAATGGAGTTTTGAATTACTCTTATAAATTGAATGATAAAGGGAAGAAGTATCCGGCAAGTAAGAATGAGAATGGTGGCTTTCCGGTGCCGTCAGTTGAGGCTCACTATCCATTGCCTCACATCAATAACCTCGCATCGGCAATTCATTATCCGTACTCGGACATAAATTATGTACCACCGCCGGCAACCGGAATTCGTTATCAGACCCTAGTGGAGGTTTATTACCCGGTCCCAACTCCACCCCTGCCACCTCCTCCCTTTGCGCAAGTGGCATATTATCCTCCTCCACCGCTGACGTTGATGGTATATCCAATGCCACCAGAGTGGAACAGATTGGGATCAGGTTACGGTGGGTACCACTACCAGGTGGCTGTGGGAGGASAGTCAGGGRCRGACTTTACTGACACGTGGGGAGAGTATTTACGAGACAATGGAGAAAACGTAAGGAAGTTTTGGAATGGCAGGTGAGGAGATAATTACGGCCATGAGGGACTTCGTTATTGTTATTACTTATAAAAATGTTATCTTTTATTGAAATCAAAACCCCATCACCGGAAGACGGAGAGCTGACGAGGGTGATGACGGTAGCGACGACACATACGAGTAAGAGGAGGTGGAGGAAGGAGAGACGGAGAGCTGAAACCGGCATATTCATTTCTCTCTTACAGACGCAGAGGAAGACAATGAACAGTGTCATTGCCCTTCCTTGATATTTTTCAAAAAAAGTTACTTTTGTTTTTGTAATTTTATAAAAATGTTATATAAGCTATGAGTCAAACCACGTTATGCTTTTTGTTAATTTTTCTTTATCTCTGTTTTTCTTTCATATTTGGGTGTCATTCGAATCTATATTTCAGAAATAATTTCAATATTCATGCCTTTAATCTTACATATATGAAAGGACTTGGTATATCGAAGAGCAGATCATACTTAGAAATTAATTTGAAGGGAAAGTTTTTTATCTTATAAACTGATGAAATTTTATAATTTAAGCAAGAGACTAAAAGAGAATCTTGGGAGCTTAGTTGGATGTAGTTTTTCAAGAGGAAAAACAAATTCCTTAACTTCCCCTTTATTATAATTATTGCAAAAATAGACATTGCAAAGACTTTTATTTTTTTTAACTTTTTTAATCTTCTTCAACCCATTTAACATACTAGCTTCTAATAGTTTAGTTGTTATTCGAGTCTAGTTCTTTGCTTTTCATCCTAGGGAGAAGATCTCAGCCTTGCAACATGTTCCTCCTCCTTTCAATTAGAGTTCAAAAAATTTATAAGGTGCTGACTTATTGTTGTGAAGCTAACAAGCCCAGGAACAAGAAAATGAATGGTAAGTAGAGAAACAAATGGAAATGTAAACAGAGCAACACGAAAGCACTCACATAGCCTACTTCCACAGGCATCAGAGGAGAAGAAATCCACTACCCAATGATAGAGATTAAATTTACAGTGTTCACAGCTTTCACACCCAAAACCCTATATCCCAATACACCCGAAGTTAGCACACTCTGTATCTCACACACTCTCCTGCTCTCTCTCTCCTTGTCTCACAAGATACATGATAACTTTCTGTGCAAAATGCAAGGCTATTTATATGAGAAATCCCGAAACCGGGTTGGCCCCATAAATTGCAATGCAACGGATTTTGAGGGACTCGCAAAATCCCCCCGCTTGCCTGCTTGCGAGTTCAGAGTTCAGCGAATCCGGGACCTGCGAGTCCTACTTGCAAGTCCAGCTTGCAAGTCCAGGCTACAGAGAGTCCAGATGACTTGCGAGTCTAGAGTCCTACAAGTCCAAATGACTCTCCGTTTCCATCTTTCTGCAGTTCCGTATGGGCTGCGATAGCGCCCTCTCTTCTTCCACATACTATTACGAAATTTTGCCTTTGGTTTTTTTCTCAATTTTGCCGGGTCAGGTCATGGAGCAGATTCACAACTAGAATTTAATGCACGGACACAACATTTCTGTTGTGTTTGGGATAAGAGGTGTTTGGATGACCTCAACTCAGGTTGTACTTATCTTTCCAATTAAGGACTATGTTTAGACAATTTGTTCTATAGAAGACAAGATTTGGTTCATATGTCTTCATGCATTGCTCTTGACCACTATGAGCTGATGTGGAAGGCCACATAGCTTGGTTTTGGATTTTCTGTGTGGAGTGGTTTTCTTTGATCAATTTTTTACATGGATTTGTATATACATCTCTCTGAAATGGAAATCCTTTCTTGGTTACAGTTCAAATTGTATTATATCCAAGACATGAATTCCATCCTCCATATCTTTCCACATGATTCTTACTGGTCTTTATTTTTGGAATCATGGAACACCACTTCATAGAATATCAATTTTGTGTTTCACATCAACAAAGGAATAGACAATGTTCTATGGGTATAAGGATTGTGCTTGCAAACATTTACTTGCACTTAAAACTTTTGCTTGTAACTTTTTACACTTATCTGTGCAGACTTGCAGCGACTTTTTTTTTATCTCCTTCGGCTAAGAAAAAAGACAATTGCTTTGCTGACAAAAGCTAAAGGCCTTGCCCTTGTGTATAAGGGTTGTGCTTGCAAGCATTTACTTGCACTTAAATTTTGCTTATATCTTTTTATACTAATATGTTCTGTGACTTTTTTTTGTCTCCGTCGTCTAAGAAAAAAGACAAAATTGCTTTGCTGACAAAAGCTGAAGGCCTTGCCCTTGTGTCAATGTTGACTACAATCACAGATTGTCGGTAGCATAACAGCTGTGTCATCATCTCTCTTCGTGGGCAAGGCAGAGCCCCTGGTGCATACTGGTTCTTGCATTGCATCACTGCTAGGTCAAGGTGGATCTAAGAAGTATGGTATAACATGGGGATGGATACGCTTCTTCAACAATGACAGAGACAGGCGTGATCTTGTAACATGTGGATCAGCTGCTGGAATTGCTGCTTCTTTCCGTGCACCTGTTGGAGGTGTTCTATTTGCTTTTGAAGAAATGGCATCATGGTATTGCCAAGTTATTTCTTTGCACTTGTTTGCATCATTCTGTCTCCCTCTTTTTGAGGATAGAATAATCTAGATATAGCCACATGTTCCTACATATTGCAACTAGAGAGGCCATGCTTACGGAAAGTCTGTGAGTAGGAGCCTATTCTATTCCAATCCATTAATCTACATGCCCAAAATATTTTGGTTAAGATATTTTGTTGCTGCTGTTATAGTATCAGAATATATTACTTTACTAGTATTACATAGGATCTCTACTCCACATCTGGTTATTGTTGATAAAGTATCCAATCAATCAATAGGAAATATCATAGCCTTTCAGATGATCCTAATCATCTGATGAATGGACTTATTTATAGCATATGTTCATATGTTATTTAAGAAAATTTGGGTAAATTCAGTTGATCTATTACTAAGTGGCATTCAATTAGACAGTTATAGATGCTTAGGCCATGTTTGATTCACTGCTCTGGGTCTTATTTTTTTAATTCTTGCTCATTCTAAGCAAGAATGAATAACATTAGAGTGTTTGGTTACAAAATTCTTGCCATGGGACACATTCTTTGAGGAAACTCTGCCTACAAAACTGCTGACATAGATATTTACTTTTGCGAAAGCACTTTTACAAAAGTACTTTTACGAATGCACTTTTATAAAAGTACTTTTACATGAAAGAACTTTTATGGAATCATTTTTATAAAAGTAAATTTATGAAAAATACTTTTACAAAAGTAAAGTACTTTT